CCAAAAAAAACCAATTTTTCGGAAAAAAAAACTGAATTTTTTCCGATTTTTTTTTCGAGTAATTTGAAAAAAGCGATTTTTTTAAAACTATACTTCCAAGTACTGCTTCTGTCGAACGAATGTTCAGCATTGTTGGTTTCGCAATAACGCTAAAGAAAGGGAATTTACACGATGATAGAATCGAATATTATATTCTGTTAAAAATTAATAAGAATTTTTAGTAATATATTTTGGATTAATACAAGAATTTATTTACAACTTTTAGCCGAATATAACATGAAGAATTTTTTTATAAAAAACTTGTCGTATATGTGTGCTATGTAATTTTATATTCATACGTATTTATACTACTTTCAAGAGAAATATCTTTGCCATACAATTTTCTTATTTTTTTAAAATAAAATTGTATAACATGTAAATGTAAACCAGTATTTTTCTTTGAATGTTCTAGGCCACGTTACTCTGGTGACTCCATGTATTATCCTTGTTTAATATAATATTAGGTGAACGACAAGGATAAAACGATACACGGAGGCACTCGATTAACGTTTCTGAACGCAGTCTTAATGGTATCGACACTACTCGTTCTGCTGAAAATTCTGACAAAAAAATAAGTAACTGAAAAGTAACTAAAAGTTACGTTTTCAGTAACTGTAACTGTAACGAGTTATTTTTCAGAGTCAATAACTTGTAAGGATAACTAATTACCTTTGAGAAAAAAAAACTGTAACCGTAATTAATTACTTTTACCAAATAATTTTCCCGTCCTTGTTAAAAACTGCTTCTCTCTTTTCTTTCATCATTTTCATTAAATTTATTGAAAATCAATTGAGCTCCACGTAAAACCGGTCAATTTATGCTTTGATCTATAAGCTGAAAAGATTTTGAGGATTGTGTAAGTAAAAGGAATATGAGTTAAGGGAAAGTAGTCGATACTAACATAAGTCTTCTAAAGAGATATCCTTTTATTTCTCGGAAACTGAATGTTGTACTTTATTAATACTGATAAAAACATGATTTGTGTTTAGATGATTAAAAAAGTAAAAATGGCGAAAAAAATGTTTACGAAAAAGTATAGAAAAACTACATAGATTGGGACAAGATCTCAGAAATTCTTAGTTTTTCATAAATATTCGTAGTAGAACGTAGAGTAGCGTTGTTTGAGAGCGGAGGATGTCTTGGTTTTTCAAATAAACAGTGCCACTCTATCTATGAAAAACTAATAATTTTTAAGATCTTGTTTCAATCTATGTAATTTCTCATAAAAATTTTTCCACCAGGATCATAATGTGCGTTATATGTTTGCGTCTTGCAGAACAGTATAAAGTATGTATATAAATAAACAAAAACGTCTTATATTGAAGTAAAAAAATTCTAAAAAATCTTATAGAACTTGCAGGTACTTTGTACAGATGATTCTTATAAAAAGAAGGAATATGTGGCATTACTGTCTATTGTGTTAGTTTTAGAGCTTATTTTATCAAACCCTCATTTTTTATACCTTGTGAAAATTTATTTATTGCAAAGTTGCAAACCGTATCGTAAAAACTATTATTATCTGACAGACGGTACTTTCTAGTTTGCATTTATGTTTCTAAAGTTTTATTTTTAGCTCTGTTTAAGAAATATTGTTCAAAAATAAAATGGTGTGTTAGTATCGGTGACCTTCCTCTAACGTTGTAACATCTTTCAGAAACAATAAACTGATATAAATGAATTAATTTTCAGAAATGATAATTGCGTGCCGATATGGTTGTCGGACTTTCAACGCAATCAAATCTGAAATTAATAAATCCCCCCAAATTCCCCAACTTGTCTCGGTAGTCTAAAGGCTTAGGACGCTCGCACGGAATGCAAGAGATCCGGGTTCGACTCCCGGCCGAGGCATTATTTTTCGCAATAAGTTTTATTACAGTTTTTAAGTTGGGGAATTTCAGATTTGATTGCGTTGAAAGTCCGACAACCATATCGGCACGCAATTATCATTTCTGAAAATTAATTCATTTAAATGAATTTACAATAGTTCAACATCTTAACGTTCTGACCGTTATGGCGCTTCTTAATTTAAAATTATTATGTTTAACATTAGCGGTCTTTCAATCTTATTATTGATATAAATGAGTCAACTTTAAATTCATGAACGAAAAAAGGTTGTATATCAAAACGTGAAATAAATGAAAATAAACAATATAGCGCCAATATGAAGCTTCTTTTTCGATACGAAGATAATCAAAGTAATAAAAATTAGCAAATAAAACATGCCCAAAGTTTTATTCAGACATCTTCCTCCCTTCATTATTTCGTTGAGAGAGAGATAAAAAGATAATATTTTGAAGAATAAAAGCTAAAATTGATCTTAGTAAATTCCAGTCCATTCTCTCGCACGGATTATTATGTAGGATATATGTGCTACATCATGATTCATATAATATTAGCTTCTTCTTACTGTTACGCATAGGGGCGAACCCTTCCGTTGAACAGGCCTAAAAAATGTGTACAAAATATTTTACATTGATCTTCTATTCCATTTTACTACAAATCAAATTCATATATTAGATTCTTAAATTTTAAGAAATGCAAAAAGATCTCAATAAGGCGCATGCTTTTATTCTTCAAGATTTTAGGTCCTATAAAAGATAAATTAATGTTTCAAAATTTCTAATTCTAATCTAAATAATATTTAGTGTTACTTGAAAATTTCCTTGAATAAAGTCTCATACATTTTCACGAAATAAGAGAAACTTAAATAAACCTAAGATAGATCGGTCACATTAACATACAATTCACACATTATCCTTATCTATTTATCTAACAATAAGACGCATGAGCATGATGCATTTCATGTAATTGCGCGGAGACAATGATTTCTTTTCAACTTTTGTCGGAAACAGATGAGTGTGACAGAAAGAGTTTAAAGAGTGTCAACGAAGATTTGCTTAATTTCATTTTACAGTAGTTCTTTTCGTGTCTTTTCAGACTGTCGATCCTCGAGAAATGCTTTCCGCATTCTTCGCAGACGAACGGATTGGTAACCTTCTCTCTCACATGCTTTCTCTTACGCTCTGAAGACAGTTGGTTGGAGACAGTCACAAACTCGAAGTAGCCTCCTTCATGGAGCTCCTGCTTTACGAATGGTTCAATTAACCAATTGGACAGTTCATCTTTGTTATCTATAAAAAAAAAGAAAAAAAGAAACATTCGTTAACTTTACGTTTTGACCAGCTGAAAATTCGTGAAGACGAGAAAGAAATCATGAGAGAAGAGCCTTATAAGCGCATGCATTCAGATAGAGTGGTCGCATACGAATACGTTATTGATGAATTTGAAAAGTACAACCGCTCCATAATGAATCTCGAATGAATAATAAATGTGAAGTCACGTAAGTGCAATGTTTGTGAGAGATAAACAGGAAAATAATAGTATCGCAATGGTATTCAAATATTACTTTTTTCAGTAATATTATTTTATTGATAGACTCGAAAGATAGACAATTATACAATAAATTCTCGCTTTATATTTTTATGACGGCAGTTGATATTATAGATATAATAATGTTTTTCTTACAATATAAATACAATGTGATAATGTAATAATATGAAACAGATTATAACAAAGAAAATTAGCAAAATAAATTACAACAAAATAACTTCTTTATCAGTATCATCAGTATCTTTTTATCAGAACATATTTTATAATCAGAACGCAAATTTCTTCATTTCGATAATGACTAGAAGATGCATATACATGTTGTTTCATATTATATAATACAATTCATTATACAGTGTCCCATTTTAAATAATGCATTAAGAATTCTCGAAAACTATGATAGATACGGAAAAATGTTTCAAACAAAAGTTGTATGGTTCGGAGGAGGACATAAGAAGGTACAACTGATTTGACCTTGGGTGGCGTCGCCTTATTTTCATTTTTGCACTAAAAATTCATTTTTACGTAAAAATGAAAATAAGAGGTACAATCTCCAATGGCCTTGCTCCTGACAAATGTTATCCAGGACAACATTCAAAAGATTAGTCGTCGGCCGGACAACTTGCTTAATACTAATGCTGGCTGTACTATAACTTTCGATCCTTATAACTCGAAAAATACTTAATGAAAAAATATTTTATTATAGTGTTTTGAAAAGTTCTCGAGGTATGCCATAAGAAAATGTAATAAAAAATAGGAGGTTCCATTTAAAAAATGGTACCTTCTTATGTCCCCCTCCGAACCATACAATTTTTGTTTGAAACATTTTTCCGTATCTACCATAGTTTTCGAGAAATCTTAATGCATTATTTAAAATTGGACTCTGTATAATTCATAGTACGATTAGTATAATCACAAAAATACAGTAAATTCCAAAATAATAAGATAAGAGAAAATAAGAAAAACCTAATGTCTATGTTTATATTTAATAAAAAAATACTTGTCGAGCGAGGATTGATTATACTTTGAGTTCATACGATTGGTCAATTCAATCAGCATATCAATTTATTAACATTGTATGATACAATATCATATACAATTATCTGATAAAAGCTAAATATGGAACTTAACAGAAAAATTTAATTGAAAGAAAATAAAGTTGTAAGTGCCTGGACCGAAAGAGAAAGAGAGAGAGAGAGAGAGAGAGAGAGAGAGAAAGAAAAAGAGAGAAATGAAGGTCGCAAACTTATAATACTATAAATACAATAATAATAATAAATAATACAATAAATAATATATAATATATAATTACATATTATACAATATATATTATAATATAAATAATATATAATATAATATAATAATATAAATAATATATAATAATATAAATAATATATAATAATATAAATAATATGTATTGTAGTATATTATATAATTATATTATACGAGGTCTGTCCCAAAACTATCTGATCCCTGCCTATATTATGAATAAGAGCTACTCTGGAGTGGTATGACAGTCGCCTTCATAATCTCTGAAAATCATTTTTTGTGATAACTCAACTGTTGGGTCGTACCGCTGATAAGGGAACCACACAAAATATTAAATTCTGATTTTAATGAAACTGTATATACATATAGGTTACGTAAAAAGATGAATTTAGAAAATATTAATTGCGGCAGTTTAAAAACGGTTCATGGGGTGAAATCACCATTTATACAGGTAATGCGAGTTTTAACTTTTTTCGCTGTCTAAAAAATCTTAAAAATATTCTAGATATCAAAAAATGTTTTACAAAACGTTTACAATAAAATTACCTCTGTTCATCCACGCCAATAATATTTATGAAAAATAAAATTTTTTTTAATTTGAAAAAATTGTTTATTAAAAATATTATTGACATAAATGAATAGAGGTAATTTTGCTATAAAGCTTTTGTATAAAACATTTTTTGGAATAGTTTTCAAAATATATAATGGAAAAAACTCTGAAAACCGCTTTACCACGTAAGGGATGATTTCACCTTTTTAAACCGTTTTTTCTGTTGCAACGGATATTTTCTAAATTCATCTTTTTATATAATTTATATGTATACAAAGTTTCATTAAA